TATCTAACAATGTTTATATATCTTTGTTTTATTTTTTTTGCTGCATGTGTGAAATGGTTTATTTCCCCCCTAGGATTAATAAAGCATCCATCTATCCATCCATCCATCCATATATTCATCCATCCACTAACGGTTTCCTTACTATACGGTTCATGTTTACTCTCAAAAGCTCCAAAAAAAAGCAAATACTTTATCTGAGCCTAGTATTTCAGTGATAAAATGCAAATGTTCTGATGGTGGTGTCCATCTGGATCAACGTATCAGGTTTCTACATGAGTACCAAGACAGTGCAACACAAACATGGATCTCCTTTAGGTCTGAACTCCTGCTGGAACAGACATGTTAGGGCAACATCTCCCTATTATTGTTTGTGACCGAATCAAAAAGGACATGCAAGTAGCAAAAATGTGCACGCCGACTCTGCATGTTAGATTGTGCTGCAGCTGCCCCCAATGTAATTATGGGCATGGGTGGCCAGCAATGACAGCTCATCTGTTAGGCAGCCAGTAGAAGTCTAAGGCACCTGGCGAGCACTGTGCCAGAATAATGTGTGCGCACAGATTAAAAATCACATACCTATTTTTAATAAAAACAAGCACGACGCTTTCACGTTGTGCAATTCTAATCATAAACACAAGCTCACCAAGTTATCGCTCTCAGATTTCGTTTTATTGTCTGTCATTTACCTGCAAATGAGTTCCAAATGGATCGGTTGAACCCAGGACATTATCATTTTAATTAGCCTCGTCTCATCTACACAGGTTTTAAATTAATTAGTATACTAAAAATACTTCAAATGAGATCTTAAACTTCTTTTTTATACGTTGTGCATGAATTGCAGCGTTAAAACTGAGCTTTGGGACTCAGGTTTGCCTCTAGTTTCCATATTTTCTCCAACTCATCAGGGGTGAGATTGATTTTTTGGATATTTCCTTTTGTTGTAAAGTGCATGGGATCCTAAAATATCATAAAAAGTGCACACAAATGTTTGAGTGAGTCTTTTTTTTTTTTCTAGTTCTGCTGGATCGCCACCAACCGAAGCTCAAAGAACGACTGGTCAAATCAATTACACTGACTTGTACCTGATTGTGCCGAGTACAATTTTTGTCGATTCGACCCCGTCTTTTATACGGAACCAAGGGATCTAATCATTTTGTGCTAAGCGCTCTACAAAACCCCTCAAATCAGGGATGAGTAATGACTGGACAGGTTGGCATGCAGTGATCCAAGCTTTCTAATTAGTCCTCCATTAACTTGTTCAACCTTGGAGTCTACGGGGTGCATACTCAATGTGCAAACACCTTGCAGCTTTAAACTAAAATATCAAACCTCCACTCTGAATTCAAACTCAAATTAATTTATTGGGTATATTTTAATATTCTGCAGTGCTCATTTCACTCTAATTAACCAGAAGAGTATGCTTTTTTCCTGCTGAGGTAAATAAAAATAATTATCTATGTACTAATCATTGTTTATATGCCTCTGTCTGTCATTTAGTCCCTGCAAACTGTCATCAACACACAACGGTAATTAAAGAGTAATGCTGCATGCCATTGCTAATCCATTTAAAATTAATGGGTGAATCAAAAGTGCAAGATCAACATGTTTGTTGTGTCTGATGTTGGTTTTGATTCTTCTCTTACATATTACAGAGAGGACATTGTAGGAGGACATGAGCTCTCTCTGGTGACTTTGACAGAAATATTTCTAAAAGTTCAGATTGGTACATTTTATACATCGGAAAATAAACGGACAAAGATCATGTTTTTCTGTCCCGTCTCATTCGTTTAGACTCCCGCGATTCTTTTGGCCAGCGATGTTTGTTTGGATACAAAGAGAATGTCAATGTTCTACGCCCACATTTCTGCTTTCTTTTGGTATCTCAGTCTGGCTGATATATGTCAAAGTCTATACAGTGTGTTTCAGATCTGTGGAATGAAAGACCTTGCCTGAGCCTTTTGCTCAATGCAGTGCAATTCAGCATGCTGCTTGTAGGGACGAGGGGTTTAAAAGAAACATGACATTGATACTTGAAGGTTGTTTTTTTTTGTTTAGTTTTTTTTGCTGTTTGAATGCAAAATATCGCTCAACAGACAAAAATGCAATAGAAAAATAAAAGTGGCATCAAACGGGTTCATGCGTGCAAATACGCCTTTCTGTGTGATGCACAATATTGCTTCACGATTCATCTTGTTTCACAGTTGGACGTCGCTTTTAGAATAAAGTGCCACAAAAGTCTGATGGAGATTCCTGGTGAGCTGCTGTCCTTTGGCCTTCCAGCCCCCAGTGGTGGAGCATTATCACTTTTTATCTGTTTGTCGAGCCCGCGCCTTCAAAAGAGGCTTGAACCTTTCTGTCATTTTCTCTGAAGGTTGAAGGGTTGAGAGAGTAAGTCTACATATTATGAACAAAGTCCCCTCAAGACATAGGAAAATAAAATGTTACTGTCCTGAATGCAGCTCTTAACATTTACTCCAAAGCCCTGATCATAAACTATTAATAGGTATTCTGTATGTCTGGATGAGTGGCAGAGGATGCTGCTTTGAATTGAACCCAAGTGTCCTCTGGGGTCAGGGATGGGACTATTAGCTCCTTTTTAATCCCGCAGAATGTTACTACCCTGCATGGCTGCAGGACGGCTAACACAGCCACCATTATGGCTTTTGTGCAAATTTTACATTATTTAGTTAAGTGACTATCTGCTGCACTGGTGTTTTGTGTGTGTGTGTTGGGGGGGTGATGCCTCCACATGCTGAGAAAAAGGTTGAACGTGGAAAAGGTGACCTCTTTTAAACAGAGGAGAATACCAAAGCAATGGCTTTACATTATGTCAGTTTTATTATGCTGCTATTTTATCATGTGTGAATAATTAAAAGTGAATTACAATTTTATATGGGTTACTAAATTAATTACATATTTACACATAATTTATATAATTGATTTGTGCCCCAGCAGCTCTCATGGCCTCTGAAATAATGATGAAATTATTCATATTATTGTATCATGTAAGTAATTTTTATTTTCCAGAGACTATGAAAACTAAAAGGGCTTTCACATTTGCCAAATTATATTATATTATTATTGTTTAGTGTATATCTTAGATCCTTGTATACTGTTTTTTTTTTATATATAGTTTGTATTTTTGTGTGTAACTGGGACCTTGAGTACACAATTTCGTTCCACCTCATGTACCACATGTGATGCAAATGACAATAAAGAACATTGAGTACAAAAAAAAAAAAAAACTAAAAAGTAGGTCTATGTGTTTTGTTGAACTTTTTGTCGAGCATGAATCCTACATATAAACCATTAAGCCGTTTAAAAATGATACATGATAGTTTGATCTGTTTGTTGATGGGTGGTAGGTGTTGTAGTGAGTTTTGTCATCAGCAGGATCTTTTGGAAGCTTCTGCTGTGCTTTTATCAGAAAGCTTCATGAGCAAATTGTATGGTTACCTTATTGTTTTGAAGCTCATCTTAAAAACGGACTTCGGCGTGTGAATTTATTTATATTTTGTGCGTGTTGAACGTTTGAACAGTTCTTTGCAATCTTTTTTTCAGATTTTCACTGTTGTAATCGTTGTGGTGCTGATTTGACATTGAAAACTATAGTACATGTAAACACACAACACTTCTTTGGAAAAACTACAAACTTCAGCAATAAAAGCTGCAAACTGTTAAAATTAGCACCATATTTACAAAAATAACATCCAGAAATGTGAATTTTACCAAGAACTCACCAAACTTTTAAATATACAATGTTAGAGAAAAGCTTCTTTATTCATACGAAATCTAATTCATCTGTATTTTAAAGTTTTTATCTTACACACAATGATGTCTCGCTTTGGACTTGGGATTTATTTATTTATTTACTTCATATCACACATTTTACTTTGTTTACAAATATATTTTTGGAGATTTTGCCTGAAGTTTTTGTGTCAAATATTTATTTTAAGTTTGTTTGTTTTTTTTTTGTCCTGTTAAGTGTTTAATTATAGTTGTGTAATATTTAATCAGAACAATGTCCTTTTTTAACATTTTGTACAAAAACAATTCCAATCCAATAATTTCAATAGTTTCAGTCTCAATGTTTTTATTTATTTTTTGACATCTTATATTTCAAATGTAACCAATGATAATTAAATATCAGGTATCATTGTCACATTTTAAAACTGTCCAGTTAGTTTTCACTACCATAAAAGAAAGCGTTCTGCACTGCTAATGTCCAGTAAATTATGTTTTTTTTTCCTCTTACTCTTTGCAGATCACACGGGTCATTTTCTGTGTCTTCCTGGAGACTGATTTTGCCATCTACAAGAAAAAAATGGCTGTCGTTTTTCAAGGTATGCGTTTTTATTTCCATCAATAACCGCTTAACTTTTTGTCCCCCGTTGTGAAGTGAAAATATGGAATTGGAAATACCCTCCATCTGTCTGTCCATCCATGAATGATGTGAGCGTAATAACTTGGAAACTAAGTGAGGTACCCACATCCATTTTGGTGTGAGGCTGCATCTACATGTGTAGAAAGATTCCTTGCAAAAACTGGGTTGCCATGTCAAACTCCAAGATGGATCCTGCCAAATATATGTAAACCTTGTGAGCTAATTTGGAAAATAAGCACGTGGCCAACTTTTTTTTGGTGTGTGTTGTAAACCAGCTACAGTGCCTTGCGAAAGTATTCGGCCCCCTTGAACTTTTCAACCGTTTGCCACATTTCAGGCTTCAAACATAAAGATATAAAATTTTAGTTTTTTGTGATGAATCAACAACAAGTGGGACACAATCGTGAAGTGGAATGAAATTTATTGGACGTGTCAAACTTTTTTAACAAATAAAAAAATGAAAAGTGGGGCGTGCAATATTGTTAGGATCTATGAATGATCCAATGTTGTCCCAAATGACTGATGGTGATAAATAGAATCCACCTGTGTGTAATCAAGTCTCCGTATAAATGCACCTGCTCTGTGATAGTCTCAGGGTCCTGTTCAAAGTGCAGAGAGCATCATGAAGACCAAGGAACACACCAGGCAGGTCTGAGATACTGTTGTGGAGAAGTTTAAAGCCGGATTTGGATACAAAAATATTTCCCAAGCTTTAAACATCCCAAGGAGCACTGTGCAAGCAATCAGATTGAAATGGAAGGAGTATCAGACCACTGCAAATCTACCAAGACCCGGCCGTCCCTCTAAACTTTCATCTGGAACAAGGAGAAGACTGATCAGAGATGCAGCCAAGAGGCCCATGATCACTCTGGATGGACTGCAGAGATCTACAACTGAGGTGGGAGAGTCTGTCCATAGGACAACAATCAGTCGTACACTGCACAAAGCTGGCCTTTATGGAAGAGTGGCAAGAAAAAATCCATTTCTCAAAGATGTCCATAAAAAGTGTTGTTTAAAGTTTGCCACAAGCACCTGGGAGACACCAAACATGTGGAAGAAGGTGCTCTGGTCACATGAAACCAAAATCCAACTGTTTGGCCACAATGCAAAACGATATGTTTGGCATAAAAGCAACACAGCTCATCACCCTGAACACACCATCCCCACTGTCAAACATGGTGGTGGCAGCATCATGGTTTGGGCCTGCTTTTCATCAGCGGGACAGGGAAGATGGTCAGAGTTGATGGGAAGATGGACGGGGCCAAATACAGGACCATTCTGGAAGAAAACCTGTTTGAGTCTGCAAGAGACCCGAGACTGAGACAGAGATTTATCTTCCAACAAGACAATGATCCAAAACATAAAGACACATCTACAATGGAATGGTTCACAAATAAACATATCCAGGTGTTGGAATGGCCGAGTCAAAGTCCAGACCTGAATCCAATCAAGAATCTGTGGAAAGAGCTGAAGACTGCTGTTCACAAACGCTCTCCATCCAACCTCACTGAGCTGAAGCTCTTTTGCAAGGAAGAATGGGCAGAACTTCAGTGTCTCCATGTGCAAAACTGATAGAGACAAACCCCAAGAGACTTGCAGCTGGAACTGCAGCAGAAGGCGGCGCTACAAAGTATTAACGCAAGGGGGCCCAATAATATTGCATGCCCCACTTTTCAGTTTTTTATTTGTTAAAAAAGTTTGACACATCCAATAAATTTCATTCCACTTCATGATTGTGTCCCACTTGTTGATTCTTCACAAAAAATAAAATTTTATATCTTTATGTTTGAAGACTGAAATGTGGCAAAAGGTTAAAAAGGTCATAGGGGCCGAATACTTTCTCAAGGCACTGTACCTGTGAAATTTGAGAATACTATGTAGTTTTCAAATTGCTTAAAAGTATAGTTTCCTCAAATGGTTGTGGTGGCCACTGGCCAGTGTGGTTGCCGAACAATTAATCTGCAATGGCCAAGACCTCCATTGGCCACCCTCTGGCTCCACCATTGCACCTGGTGGGAGTGGGGGCGCAGAGGTTAGAAGTTGGGCTTGTGATCGGAAAGTTGCAGGTTTACCTCCTGGTACCGTCAACATCAAAATGTGGGTGAAAAGGTGAAACACCCACACCTCCCTCCACCCTCATTCGCCCCACTCTGTGCCCCTGAGCAAGGCCCTTAACCCCCACCATCTGCTCCCTAAACAGGTCTCTCTTGAAAATGAGTTCTCGTGGCTCAATGAGACTACCTGGATAAATAAAGGGTAAATAAAATTTAAAAAATGGTGGCGGATAAAATTGGTCACGCTGCTCGCCAGGATCCATCACTCTGCACCACCTAGGACAAAAAAAAAAAACTACCTCTGTTCTTTTACACTTCGTAACTCATATCCACTTTAATATTTTGCATTTGAGGTTTACTTGAATTCCCTGTTCACTTCCTGTCAAGACTCTGCATGAAAACATTCACGATTCAAATCCTTTAGAGATGGGAGACAGTGTATCGATGGTTGGATGGTTTGTTTTTCATCTATGCCTCTTTTGCTTTAAGTTGAAATCAATTATTTAATATTGCTCAACTTGAAGGTTTTGAAACGTGTGACACCAAACATCTTCCTAACTGCACATTTTTATGAATCTTGACAAATTTAAAGTCTTGTTTGTTTGTTTATTTATTTTTTTCCTCTCTGGAAGCGTTAGGATGTGGATCTGTCAGGCTTGGGTGACAACCTCAAATGTAAACCCATAAAATGCAGCGAGAATTTATGCTGACAGTTATAAAATCAAGTGTCAAGGTCTCAACATATTGCTTTAATGTGATTTGAATACTAAAAGCTGATCATTCTTTTTTTTAAATTTTGATGAGGCTTAAATGTCAGATTTAATTTACCGTAATAATCAAGACTTGAAGGTCTTCTGCACAAACCAAAGACACAGAGGAATGTAGATGCAGAGCCACGTTTCATTCCTTCTCTTCACTTCTGAGTGAAATAAACAAACATCCATTATTTTCTACAGCCCCTCTGTTTTCAGCCCCTCTTTCAATTCCCTCCTCCCTTTCACGCCATCATCTTTTTGCTTTTCGCGGGGACCAGGAGCAGTCGCCGGCTCTGATGGGGGCTCCACAGAGGACTGAGCTGAATAGCTGGGGAGCTGAAAGAGGCTGGCTGGCTAGCATTACCTCCCATTTACCTCACTTTTCCCTCTTCACCTCCCCAGCGGAATACCGGCTCACAGGCCTTCATCTCGCTGTTCCCAGAAGGAGAGTGTTTTGTTCTCCCTGCACTCCCGTCATCTCTCCCTCCCCTCCACCCAGGCTCTCGCCTGAAAGATTACATTCTGAGGACAGACCTTAATTATGCCTGCCTGCCCCCATGCACCCAGCACCCGTCCCTTCATATTAGTGTTTTGAGATGAGAATCTGAAGCTGTTGTTCTCAAGTTATCTCTCTCGCTGTTTAAAAGTCTAGTCACTGTATAAATGCTCCATATCTCAGTAGGACTGGGGACGGGGATGAAGAAAAACGACAGGCTCCGAGTGTGTGTGGGCACGTGTCACAAAGAGCAATCTAAACAGCTTTAAGGGGGTTTTCTGCTAATTCCATAAAAATTATTGTTTACCGAGACGCGGTAAGCTGCTAAAGCAGGAAACTAAACTCAGACACTGATTGAATTCTGGGTTCTGTTTTTTTTTTGGAATATGTTTACCTTAATGAAAGTGTCGTGCTTCTAAGTGTGTCACCCGTCATTTGTTACACCCCAGGGGTCAGAGCCACCTTTATCAGCGCTCCGTTAACATGTGTGGGCTGGGGAGGATAAGTGAGTGTGACTTTCCACTCAGGATCAATGTCAGGAGTGAGGCAGACACTTTTACACCACTCTCACCTACACCTGTTCTAATCTTTCACCTCGTGTGCAAGATCAAAGATTTTACCACCTTCTTTATGAAAACTAAAGCTCTTTTAACTCATTCAGTCAGGTAGAACAGAGATAAAATGAGGAATCCAGGCTACTCCTCTCACGTGTCTGATCCAGCCGGGCCGCGCGATGCAAATGTGTTCCAGCGGTGGTGGAAAGGTGCGCTATAAAGAAAGAAATGCTGATTGGTATGATTGCACCATGCAGGTAATGCATAACCCCGTAGTGGGAAAAGACTTGCATTTAGCCTGCGCAGAATGGCAGTAGTGAATCAGAGGCTGTGAATTAGCTCTGCAGGTGTGCTCGAGCACTTTCAGAACATCTCATCATCCTCACTGCCAGGGGAAGACAGTCGCGTGGATCTTGCAGCAACACTGAAAGCCACACGCATGGGCTTGAGATCATTCTGTCTCCTGCAGCATACTCACTTTCAGTAACCCTCTGTTCTATCCACTGTACCTATTTTCTCTTCCTCTCCTCACTTACTCTCACTTATGCATCTCCTTTTTCTTTACCTATTACCAGATTCCTACAATTTCTATAATTCTTCCTTATTGCATCAAGGACAAGCGTCTCCGTCGCCTCTTGTATCAGGGAGTTGCTACAGAGCTGTTATTGGTGGTCTTCTGGTAATATTTGTGTGGGTCCAGGGAAAACCTCAGGATCCTCCTTGTCACTGTCACATCAGTTTCAGACCTGCTTTCATTTCAGCTGACTAGATACAATAGATTCTGTTTTTTATTTTATTTTATTTTATTTTTTTTATTATTTTTTATTCCTTTCATTTTTCACTGTATAGCCACTTTCTTCATATTCAAGCAATCTGTCAAGTGACAATGACTGGAGCCAGAACGTGTAAACAGGGTATTTGCATACAGGAAATTGCTTTATTACAATGTGCATTTCCACAAGCTGTCAGTTTGAGGAAGCCAAAATATGGTTACTTGTCTGCAGCAGGAGGAAACTGAAAAATGGCCTCTGCTGGCAACGATATTCATGCACGCATGCAGTCAGCCACAACTCACATTTAAAACAGGTAGTTGCTCCGTGTCAAGTATTGGATTTTCGACCACTGACATGAAAACAAATGATTACAATTTTTCGCTGCTTATTCCGCGTTGCATTTAAATGTTCTTTGCGCTTAAGCAGCCTCCCTGACAGACAAATGTCTTTGTGTAGTACCAATTCAAGAAGCACTTTATGCATTTAAAGTCATACGGCCTCTCCAGCACACAAAGATAGAAATATGCAAATACATAAACAAGCTTCGATGTGCCATCTTTTACCTGGGCTGCACCATTCACTATTCATTACCCTCCTCTGCAACAAAGCTCATGAACAGTGATATAATGACCTATTTATTACACTTAATGCATCTCTCAGGTACTTTGAGATCAAGCTAAAAGAACCAACAGTCTGTGTGCAGTTTGAAGAAATTAAATCAAAGGAGTTATCATGGTTGAATTTTTAGGCATACAAATACATTAATTGATTTGCACACACAGCTCAATAAGTTCATTTAATCGTGTGATTTTATTATGTATTGTCGTGTCCGACCACATGCTTGCCTTGCCACGTACTATTTGCAAGCATGGAAGCAGTCAGGCAGCTGCGGTTGTCGAGAGTAAAAGCATGTAGAAATTGATTCTGGGTACACTCCTCTACTAATATGATCCGGGTGGCTGCCCACAAGCTGGGCTCCATCTCCTCCTCTCCTCAATCAGACATGGTGCTGACAATATTAACACAGCCCACAGATCTGCAGAGGCTGCTGCATTCTCTCCAACTGTTTCACTGACTTTCCAATTGACATTTATTTACATGGTTCTTAATACACTCCATACTCCCATCGTTTCAGCCTATACACACACATGCGTTCACCCCGCAGTGTCCACAGTGGAAGCATCCCCAAACCCTCCCACTGCTTTGGATAAAGGAAAGCTGAGGTATGCACATGGTTTTATCACACACACGCAAATTGTTGATGGAGGGTATGGAGGCCTATAGGAACCCTGTGACGGTTGAAAATGAAGTCTGTTGGTTTTGCTACGTTATTCCTCGGTGTCGGGAAATGAGGAGACCATGGTGTGTTAGTGATGCGATTGTGATATAGCACAGTCAGCATTGGCAGACATGAGGATTCAGCTCAGTGTAAGTGAAAACATGTTCATGTTTCTGCACAAATCAGACATGAAGAAAACATATTGTGAGTACATGCGTATCAGAATACTCACTGTTGTTTGGACATGGTTACCTTTAAAAAAAAATTAGCTTTAATACAGTTTAGTAGAAGCATAAACCATCCTAAACACTTGTTCCAATACATGAATAAAATGTAATATTAGAAAAACATCATTACACTTTTATTGGCAGTTCAAGATCATATAATGTTCACTATAAGTTCTGTATTTTTATTGCCCACAGCCAATGGTTATGTTTTTGACTTTGTCTCTAACGTTACCAAAATATCTTGACTATAAATTTTGATGTCAACCGATTCAAGATGACCACCCCAGCTATGACAGCATACACAAAAATGGTTGTAACTAAGCCAGAATTACATATCACTGTCTTTCTGTTTGCATAATCATTTTAAAACTACTTGACAGATTTTGTGACACTTTCAGGATGTAAATCATTGGATGTACATCTACAGTTCTCACTAATCCAAGATGGCCACGACAGGTAAATGTGTTCAGAATCAGAATGCTTTTATTATCCTTGCACAGTGAAGTACAAAATTACAGCCGTCCTAAAGATGGACAGAAGTGTACAGGGGGCTGCAGCTTCTGAGATGTGCTGCCCTTGTTGCTTAGTTAAGAAAACATAAGGAGAAAGGTATAAAAAGGGTATATATCTCACACCATGTCCTTGACAGGATACGGTTTGAGGCATTAAAATAATTACCACAGCAAAGCAACATAAATAGACGATACATATACGTATGGATTGGATAGGGGTGGGGGTCCCAGCACGGCCTCCAGGTGAGTGACGCAGCCCTTGGAGCCTTCACATCTCCTAGGTTGCTGCGCCAGGTGAGGCAAGGGAGGCCAGTGGAGGCATTGAGTTTGAGGGAAGGTCGTAACACAGCACAATCCAGACCCCCCACCCCCCAAGCTTTCCTTTTAACAGGAAGAAACCTCTAGCAGAACCAGGCTCAGGACAAGCGGCCATCTGCTTTGACCGGCTGGGTTTGAGAGGACAGTGGACAATATTACCTTACTCGAATCTTACCCGAAAATGAACCCTTGTCTGTATATCTCCTGACAAAGGGAACTATTTTTACTAAGATCGAGATTTTGCCTTCCCTTTTTTTTTTTTTGGTAAAGACTAAAACGTACAGAACAAACACGGAGTTCAGTAAAAGTCTTTCATGGCGGCTTCTTCTATGGTGGCCACGGTATTCCCTTTTAATGCCTGGAAGGAAAAGATTATGCTCTGGGGGTGGGGGATGATTGTATTGTTAAGGATTAAGATGCAAGATATTCATCAGTAGTAGTAGGTTTAGCTTTGGAATTTAGCTGAATTTAAAGCACAAAAAAATGTGTACAGAAAGGGTGTCACATATTGTTGTCCATGACTAAGTCACAAACATTTCCTGTGTGGACGTTGACTGTAGCGTTTGGCAGCAGTTGAAACACCTCCTGTTTCCATTCTTGTTCTGCTGTTACTGTATCAGTGGGCCTTCCTTTGTTTCCCCAAGCAGGGTTAGATTAATGCACTGTACCCTTTTATTCTGTGTTGTACAAAAGAAAAAGCTGTCGCAGAATCCGCAGGGAGCCCTGATGGTTACATTTCTACAAAACAGATGACAACAGCCTTTCATCAAAGCGAATGCGTTTCTTTTCTTGTTAACTACTGTGCAGTCATTTCAATGACTCATGTGCAACCATATATACATATATAATAATGAACATTTCCTAACAGATTACATGTATTCCATTCATGTGTTCACACATTTATTATGTTTACAGTGTAGTGGAATGTCACAAAAAGCACCTTGAGGCATGCTGTAAGATCTGAGTGTCGAAGAAGGCGTGTTCTTTTTTCTTTCTGTGGGAACTAGGAGCTGTGAGCAGGCATCCACGCTTCCTCCCCCCTCATCTCTCTCTCTGCAGTTCCTCCAGAAGCAGCCTCCAAAGCCTCCTCCTCGTCTCCCATGGTGCAACTCAACTCATCCATTCAGAAACACCTGTAGTTCTCTCAGTCGGTATTTTACAATAGACTTAGAATGAAAAGAGGGGGCAATCAAAGGGCTTTTTAAAGGCACAATTGTCTGCGCCAGCCTTTAGTGCCGGTAATTTCAGGAAATAGGAGGTTTTGTGTCATTTATGCTGAGTCTACTAGTATGGATTTAATTGAAAAAGAATGTCTGGTGAACGTGAATCCCCTCAAATACATGCCCACATGCTTGCTCCTTTTGTGTAATAACTCGCTAAATCCAAGGCTGTCTGCCGGGGAAATTGGAAAGGGCATTGAGGGTTGTAGCTGTGGATCATGGCAGCTGAAGAAGGTGAAAGAGTTTTAACTGGAAGTTTTTGGTCATGTTAATACAGTGCTTGCCCTCATTTTACAGTGGCTGGCAGTACAATCCAATCAAGTTGTGATGAGTTGTTGTATGAAACGCCATTGTTTAACAGACTCATATCCCCCTCTTTCAGACAATGACATGGAGGTTACAGAGGAGCAGCAGAAGGGAGGTGAGTGACAGAATATTTCATGGTTGCCTTTTCACCTTAACACCTCCATTAAAGCTCACCGACGGTGAGTGAGTGCCGTGGCTCCAGCTTGTGACAGTGATTTGCTGGGTTTTATTCAGCAGATGGAATTGAATGTTTATTCATCTGCTGACAAGTTGAATCCCCGGCCTGACTCGTCTCAGTTAAAAAATACTTTATGTCAGGTGTGTTAACACCGCGAGAGCTTTTATCCAGAGCTAATTCCCAACAACATGCGCTTCATCCGGCTTATGGACACAATGCCTTCAGACCACCTAAAACGAGTGACAAAGAAACGGCAGAGCAACATCGCTGCACGACACAAGCCAGACACAAACACAACCGTTAGCGCATAATGCTTTTATCATTTCACTATCTTGCACATGGCCTGAAACACGGATATTGCATACCTGGATAAACTCTTGACATTTTCTCTGCACTATCCTAAAGAAGTAATGAAATAAACAAAAAGGATGCTAAAAAATTGTTAAACAATATATGCTATAGACTAGAAAACAGGTTTGTAAAAATCATCCAGGTAGATAAATACAAAAAAGGTTCAATCATGTCATCTGGACGAGTTTCTTTTTGGGAGAAAGGTTTCGTCTTTTTCTCCCAGTAAGAAACGGGTCCAGATGCTATAGACTAGAGTTTGTCTTTTTTGTTCTCATTGTTAAAGAGAGTTATTTTTTATGAAAAACAGCTCGCTGCCTGTGGCCCTTTTCTCTAAGGCACTGAGGGATGCTGTGCCTGATACATTTTTTCAGATTATAGGGATATTTGCAGCCAGAACATCCACGTTGAACCACTGAGGCTCTTGAAAATGTCATAGCGCACATGCAGCCAACTAAGCAGAGAAGACCATTAGTTTTACCGTCTGTCAGAAGAAGTGTTCACATTACAGTAAATGTAGAACTCGGGGTGCTATCAAAATGTTTTTCCTACAAAAGTCACCCCCGTGATTTACCAATTACACGCATCTGTGTTTTCAAAGAGATTCCATTTTGGGGCGAGCATAAAAAGGGCCATTTTATAAGTGCGCTGTAAAACGTGATACTGCAGAGTGTAACATCGTGCACATAATGGCTAAATCATAAAGTCTTGGCTGAGAGCGACTGCGTTTGAGATTTTGTCCAGTTCTGCGACAAGATTTCTTTTGTGCTCCCCACCAGCTGTTTTTACACTGCATCCAGTGTAATAACATGGAATCACACCACAACATCTGAAAGCAGCCCCTGATCATTTCTAGCTCTCATGCCGTTCCTGTCCTCGTCCCGTTTGGCCTTGTTTGATGGGCCTCTTAGCTGGTGCCAAGAACTGGCCTTTTATTCTACTCCATCAGCCAGAGTTTGAATCAGTCTGCCTGGAACCAACTCAGAAGTTCAAATGACTTTTATGCTCACATGGAAGGGTGCGTTTGGCTCAGATAGTTGGCTGGAGATGGCCTCAAAGCCTAACATTCTTCAATCCTTGCCTGTTGGAGTCCGTGTGTGTGTAACTTAGCAGAAATAAAGCGTTAAACCCTGTTTTTAACTTGGAGGATTTATTTTTTTTTTTTAAAAAGTGTTCAGTGGACACAAACCAAAGCTGGATGGTGGTGTGGTGGTTAACACTGTCACCACGCATCACAAAGGTTTGAATCTCAGTTCACTCAGGCTGTGATGTGTGGAGTTGCATGTTCTTTATGTTCAGGTGTAGTTTTTTCATCATCTCCTGGTTTCCTTCCACGGTTCAATAAAATGCATTTCTTGTTAACGAACGTTTCTTAATTCCGTTTGTATAATTATATCATGCTTGGTATTTTGTTTGTTTTGACCCTGTGATGGACTCGCAACCTGCCCAAGGTGTACCCCACCACTTTCCTATACCTAATCAACCCCTAACAAATGTAATTAGGAATAGAACACAGGTATTTTTTTGCCTAATAGAGTTTTTTCTTTTCTGTTATTGGTGTTTTATGATGACTTATAAACAGGGTAGATTTACTTTTGTTCTAATAAACTGAAGAATGTGTTTTAAAATGTATCAAATATTTGTCATTGTTGCAATATCAGTATCACAAAGAACTGCTTGGACTGCAGTAAATCATGGGCCATTTTATTTCAAATGCCATGCATATTATGTTCTGCATGCTATTGATATTTCACCAGCCTTGTTGTCCAAACCTGGTTAAGTTGATTGTGATGACAGATAAGAAAGTGATGAAATTGTGTGTTAAATTAAATTAATATTGTGAATGCGGTAATAAACAATAATTTTGTGCATCACAGGTTTTTCTAATACTATGCAGCCTTAGTTGTGATGCATGCAGAATGTGGTTTTACCATTATAATAATAATAATAATAATAATAATAATAATGTCATCACAATGTCAGCACTGTATGTTGTTGAAATAAGAAAGGTCGAAGACATTATTTGATGGCAAAACCTGCAAATAAAGATCACGTTTCTTTAGAATCAAATTGTGCAAATTGACCCAAAATTAATGTTAAATGTGAACTGTTAATAAAATGTGTGGCTCTTTTGTTCTTAAGCCCAGAAGATGCTGATCTTCAATAATTCCCCAAAATAAAGTTAAAAACGCTGATGCAGGAAAGGATAATGTTGGCGTTAACGGTTTCCCTGCAGAGTGGTAACCTCACCCATCTCTTAGTTTATCAAAATTTACTCTCTGCAACTCTCTTGACAGTTAATATTGACAAGAACTCTCACGAGAGTCGCTTCTTGTTTGTTTTGTACCAAACCACTGAACAACCAATTCTCATTGCTTATTTACAGAGAACACCCCGCCGTCAACAGAAACCACAACCAAGGACGAAAGTGAGGACAGCAAAAGAGGCAAGTTAGCATACATGAGTGCATCTCCTTTGTGTTCCAGTTCTGGTAACTGTCTTGTCTGTGCATGCCAAACACCAAAACTGGTGCTGGAAACATTTTGCACTGATATGTGTTTACAGAAAAATTTGCTGCTGCGTGTAAATTAATGGAATGTGCTCTTGGTCGGTAAACTTTTGCTCTCTGATGCCAAGCTCTTTAGGGAAATGAATACGAGATGAAGCTTGGTCGTTTTTAAAAAAAAGAATGTTTTCTTTAAGGCAAGCTTGTTTAAAAAGCTATTATCTGGCTATTCTGCCATTTCAGCCCCTTTGGATGTGTAATATTGAAACAATTATAGGCTTCTCCGATACGATGGACCAAAGATAATTAGATTCTTACACTGGAGGGTGTTAGTAGGCAATTAAAATCGTACACCATCCATTTGTCTTGAAGCCTTAAGGTTGTACGGAATTTTTGAAGATAACAGTCATGGTTGTTTTTCTTTGGGGGATCTGTTCCTCCCGCTGCCTTTGAAATGCTGGATCAGACAGCACAGTCACTCCAAGGGCATCAATACAATTGATGTTGTTAAACAAAACACAATAAGTCAATTCTCTTTACATATACAAGATACCTCTTCAGTAATTCAGTATGATTCACAAATTCAATCACAGGCATTAGAAGGGCATAAGCATTTTGTAATAATCTTTAGAAATCCTAATTTATCAGGCCTCGCAGCTTAATAGTGACTAATCCATTCACAAAAGGCCTTGGCACAGCTTTCTAGCATGGGAACAGTCAGTCCTTGAGACAACCTCTCATAGGAAAGGGATGAAATGATTTTGCTCTGCCTGTACAGAAGTACAGGTTAGCAAAGGTTAGGTATGGTTCAATGTAGCACATAGGGAGGATTAATCATAGAAAACACTCACATGTCAAGATACCACAGAGCGGGGGAAAATCGAGCAGGAAAACTAGACTGTCAGCGATGTTAGACAGGCGTTGGAAGATGCTGTAGGATCCCATGCCACCTCAGTATACCTGAGAAAGATCTTCTTTCACTGACAGCACACTGGATTTCACCATCTTGTCTGCGAAACCAGCAAAGCTTCTCTCCTGATTTGGTGTAATCAATATGTGTTGTTTTTTTTTTTTTTTTACATTAAATTACACTCTGCAGCAGAATCGGTGCCTGTCAATACGCCTCAATGTGATCAATCACGTGTGTCATAGTCCTCGGGGGATTCACTCGCCCCTGTTCTTTGGTTCAGCACGAGGTGCTTTTAACCACAACACTGATGAAGAGCGCACTCTGAGGCATTCTGCACTTTTTTTAATGATTAATACACTGCTGGTGGACTAGAGGTAATTATAGGGCTTCTCTGCAACCGCTACATTTGCAATTGCTTTCTCACCTTTCAAGCAAAACACCTCTGCAAGCTTAGTGGACTAAATTAAAATAAAAATACATTGTTCATAGTAAAACAGAAAATCTAGCTATCTAAACAGATTTAAAAACAGCACTACGAGCCATCTAAACACCTGCAGCTCTTCAATTTCACACACCTTACTTTATAACGATTCCTAAAACTGCTTTAAAACAACAATTTACTTTTTGTTGATTATACCGTATTTTCCACCGTACCTGCCGCATCAGTCCAAATATGTCTAAAAAAAAGTGGAAAGATCCATAAATATGTCGCTTCGCCGTATACGTCGCATTTGTTACGCGTCACCACTGACAACCAGGAAATGTGGGCCGGTGTTGTGCCAAAAATCGATGGGCTGCCAAATGGCGGCCGTGGGAGTGTGCACAGGAGGACTTTTAACAAGATTAACACTTAAAAACAATTATTTGTTTGCTCGAAATTATAGTAAAGGTGTTTCTCAGTCTAACTTTTGCTTAATAAATGCACTTTGACGATCAAATCAGCTGCATTTCAAAAGCCGATACGCGGAAGTAAATGCGTGCACGTGACGAGTATCTGTGCAAATTTAACAAGGTAACCACCTAAAAACAATTATGTGTTTACTCAACTTTATAGTAAAGGTGTGTCCAGTCTAACGTTTGCTTAATAAAAGGACTTTAATGGTCAAATCAGATGTATTTAAAAAGTATTCACTGCCTCGGTTCTCCAGGAACGAGCAGAGAGAGAGGAAAAAAGGAGGAGGAACGTTGCTCGTTTCTTCAACATTTAACAAGAAAAGCACCTAAAACAATTATTTGCTGGAAATTAGAGCAAAGGTATGTCTCCGTTTAATTTTTACTTAATAAATGCACTTTAATGGTCAAATTAGCTGCATTTCGCCGAGGCGTTGCAGCAAAATTAAGCTGAGGTTGCTACAAGCAGCAAGCAGAACGAAGGTGGGGTACTTTGGCAAGCCGATTGTGTCATTAATAGCTGGTGAAGATTCTCAGTCTTCCAGGACATGGTAAATTCAAAAAAGTTCAAGACAAAAATAATAAACTAAAAAGTATAATAAATAAAGTCCAGCTGTTTTTGTCTTGAAATTTTTTGAATTTGTCTTTATATCCACATTTAACTATTACATGATACAATGGCATGCCTTATTGCTACAACTACTCTGCTGCCATCATGTGGCTGAAAGTGGTACTGCTCTTTATTTTCCTTCTTTTTTTTCGTCAGAATGAATGAAAACGGTCATATCTGCCAAAAATTGGTTTATAAATATGGGGAAAAATCCATCAATATGTCGCTTCGGCCTATAAGTCACAGAACATGTAAATTATGCCAAAAATGTGATTTAAATGCCAAAAAATACGGTAATAGACTCATGGTTTCGCTACTTTGCGGTTCGTTTTTTGCAGACTTGCTCTATCGCGGTTTTTCAAAGTAAAATTGGACAAGACACACAATGACTGATGGATGAGCCACATGATCGGCATGGATTTTTTTATTTAAAATATATATTTTTTTAATGATTAGCCCACAGCTGTGGGAGAAGCTCCCTCCTGCAGCTGATCAGCTGATCTCCTCTCTGCACAGAGATCATGGAGACTTGTACTATTTCTACTTCACGTTTTTCACTTATCACGGGGCTTCAGGGTACGGATCCCCCACGAAAAACAAGGGATTACTGTTTGTATATATACACACACAAAAACACAAAACAGACTTCAATCGTGTTAAATATAATATATTTATAAACAGTATTTCAGCTGTTTTTAAATGAAGCGGACTGTTGATACCTGAAATAATCCCTGTGTATTTGAAAGCAGGCACTCAGATTAACTACATGTGTTAGCGTGTGTAACAAGCGGTGCTGTGATGTAATCCACATGAAACACAAGCACAGCAGGCAACAGCTCTGAGCTATATAAATAAAAATGAAGGAGAATGAAAGGGAGGATCTCACACGGAGGCAAACGCTGGCACGGAGGTCCAAGGTGAAATATAAACTGTCATCTTGCAGTGTCTATTATTTGATGTCAGATTAGAATTAGTGAGATTAGTAGATGTCACCAGATTGGACGGTAAAATGTAAGAATTGAGCCAGAACTCAGTTCCTGGCATGCTCGAGCTTGCTGGGAATAACCTGAGGAGGAGAGGAGTTGGTGGAGAGAGCAGGCTCGTCTCTGTGTGAGTGTGGAAAGATATGTAGATTAATAACGCTACGTGTGGACTGACAGGGAGCCTCACTGTGGGGTACCATCTTTTACACTGTGGCTCTCTGTCAAACATGGCTCACAAAGCACCTGCACTTTGCTCAAACACACACATTTCTCATGCAAGAAGCTCTTTGAATGATCGACGTTGGTCTTCTCTGACCCACGTTTCCCTCTACATGTCATAAATTTTTCAAGTTCCTCCCCCATTTTTGATCTTTTTTGTCCTCTGCTCTGGTTAGGTTTAATTAAAACAACAGAGATGAGAGGTGGTGGTGGGGGGGTGGGGGTCACAGACACGGCATGTGTATGTGTATAAACCCATGGGAACCTGCTCACGTTAATCTAAATACTTCCTTAAAATTATCTGCCATTGTTTACTCAGTGGTCATGCAAGTAGGACATACAAGGTAGTTTGAGTATCAGGATGTAAATTGTTAATGCCCTTGTAATTCTGCACTCCTGACTCTTATGGCAGCATAAATAAATCACTCAGTTCTGTGTGAAACTAACATTTTATTTTGAAATACACTCAAGCTTTTTAATCTACACAAGTGCAGGCGAGTGCCTAAAATGGCCTTATTGTCACTACATTTCACAAACTGTGTTTTATGCACGTATTGACACTCCAATTTTCACAGTGTTTGCTGGATCCTTCTCCGTAAAGCCCGTCAAACCCTGATTTACAGTTATGACAGTATCATATAGGAGGCTGGGAATGAAAGAAAGCTGTGGCGATGCTGCCACCTGCTGTGGGCAGCGCATGAATAAGCAGCATGCTTTTATGTGCCTGTTGGGCTTTTTTTATTTTGTAGGGAGACAGTGTTCTAATTGATCTCAACTTGGAGCCATTATAAATCACATCTGCCCAACACAGAACCTTCTGTGGTCTGGTTTGTGTGTGTAAATGTGTGCTTATCCACTATCTGTCCCCTAGCATCCTTTAGCACAAATTGAATACTGTTCCATCCAATAAGCCAAATACAAACGATCAAATAGCTTGGAGGAAATTACATTCGGCCCTTCGCCGTATCTGATATATGGATAATATGGATCACTTTAGACAGACATGTTTTTTTTTTTCAGCTCAGAGGAAAGGTTTCAGCCAACCTCAAGGCTAGAAAAGTATTTCTTCCAGCTTTCTGTCTCTGGCTCTTTCTGAAAATGCCAATCATGATTAAAAGAAAGGGTTACCATCTGTATGTCACCGACATCCTTTGTGATGGACAGAGGTGCTCGAGACAAACATGTGCTACTGAACCCCCCCCCCCTCCCCCTTAATAGAGGCTGGCATTTTTATTGTTCTGAGTGCATGGCAAAATTGCATAGATATGAAAAAATGGATTCTCACTGCAGCTTGTTAAAAAAGCAATTATAGATGCTGCACAATAGCCATTGTAAAGCATGTTCTGTTATTGGTGTCATGGCTTTCATTTACTTAATTTGTCCCAAATGTCAATGGTTTATGTGTCTGCAAGTGAGAATGTGTAAAAGAAAGAAGAGGGCTAAGAGTGACGGGGGGGATTGGTGTTTTATAAAAATTTATGTTCATACTCTGCATTTTATGCATGCAGCGGACAACATTTTAGCGTTACTGATAACAGCAGGAGTTGGGTCTCATCATTGCAAGTTTAAAAGTGGTGGTGAGATGCACGAAAACTATTAATCTAAATCTCCGCATTGTTATAATGACAAAAGTTGTAACATATTAGTTTTATAGATTGATATGTTAATTTTATTCTTGGTATTTAAAGCGGCATCGCAGCTAATATTATTACTGTTATAACCTGGTAACAAATGCATGTTTTATACAAAATCACCATTCCCAATCATTGGTAGAAGAAACAACTTGGTGTAATATCACAACCTAGTGTTATTATTAGCAACATGTTTCTTCTTGGTGCAAAAAAAAAATACAGCCGCCTTTTGAAATGATTCTGAGATTAACTTTTCCGATTAATGTACATTAATGATTATTCAAATGTTTGACAAGCTCTGCACGTCCTTATATGCACAAAGCTTTTAGCAACGTGAATCAGTATATCGTGTAAAATGCACAGGAATGCATAGGAAGAGCATCAAAACTCCAGTACTTTCAATTACGACCTCAACACTGGCAGCTGCTGCAACCAACAGATGCTCTGTGCTTCAACATCTGGCAATACTTATTGACGCTATCCTGTTTTGATGCATTGCTGCTTCCTAAATAATATTCTTGTTCACTTACTCCCTATTTGGATATCTGTTTTCACAGCATCTCTTTTACGCTTTCATTTACAGTTATTCCTTCCTTGTTTAGTTGTAGCATTGTTTTATATCAAAAATTTAAAGATAAGGATTTTTGAGATTGAGAAAAATCCAAAGATACTAAATGACCCCAAGCCTTGCTGTTAAAAAAACGACTGGTTTTCCATTGCTTAAGAAATGTTATTCGAATAAGAAAACAATATATGAAGCTCATATTTTAAAGCTGGTCTGTGGTGTTGCAGCGTGCTTCAACTTAACACCTTCTGTTTTAGTGGTGTTTGTTGACGAGCTTCGAATGAAGCACCACACCACTCCTGATGTGTTTTCAGTTGTGTTCTGTTTGATTGAGAACAGTTTGAAGACCACATTTATTTATTATAACAATCTAAGTAAAGTGCTATGTGTTGTCATCACCGTATGCATTTAACCCAGTTTCACTCTAGTTGTGTAGTGTAAAACATAGTGAAGGTGTTCTGTAGTTTCACACCAGTAACTTGGATCAGAAATAGAAAACCAGTGGTCCTAGACCAGGGCTATTCAACTAAATTGCTCGGGGGGTGCAGTTACTGAATGCCAAGAGCTCAGGGGCCGGGCATCCAGCAGTTCTTATTAAATAAGTTTGTAGTTTTATTTTAAAATGAACTCATTGGTGGGACGAATTGAGTTCACCCATGGGCCTGATTTGGCCCCCGGGCCGCCAGTTGAACAGCCCTGTCCTAGTCGCTTCTTCTTTCGGCTGCTCCCTTCTTCAGGGCTCGCCACAGCGAGCTAACGCACAAAAACTTCACAATTGTTTTTATAAGTTTGTTGCCCTTCCTGACGCAACCACAGACCACCGAGCTACTGTGTGGAGCATATGGCTGCCATATAGGGTGCCTGAGGGAGCAGATGGTGGGGGTTGAGGGCCCAGATTGGGGCAAAATGAGGGTGGAGGCGGGTGTGGGTGCTTCACCTTTCCCACCAACTTTTTTTTTTTTTATGTGGTCGGTACTGGGAGTTGAACCGACACTCTTCCGATCACAGGCCCACCTTCTCTAGCCTCTGCACCACCATCCCCCCACTAATATCCCAAGGTTCTAGACCAGGGGTGTCAAACCCACTTACAAAAGGGGGCAAAAATTTAAACCTTTTTCAAACTAAGGGCCGTTTTCAGAATCTGCATTAACTCGAGTTAGATACCCAACAGCTTTTCTTGGTTGCAGGTTCCTCAACAAGAGTTTGATTGGTCTCATTTGACATTCTCCGTTGCAGTTTTGACATCACAATCAAAGATTACGGAAAATATTAAAGTGATAAAAGTATTTTACATTTAAAATAACATCTTGGGGGCCAAATAACATGTCAACGAGGGCCACATTTGGCCCCCGGACCTTGAGTTTGACACATACGTCCTAGACTAATGTAGCAAAAAAAGATTGCAGAGTTTCTATTTAATAAATACAAAAAAAATGGAAACAAATCTAAGTTTTACAAATGTCACATTATCTCTTCCAAAAAGAACGCTGCAGCAACAAACGACGAATGCTAATGATTAGTTGCTTTGTTTTTCAACGAGTGGCTGTCACGGTTAACATTCCTGCATATTTACATGACAACTCCCCTCCCTTTCTTTTCAGGTGAAGAGAAGCCTGGTGATGAAGAGGAGGGCGACAATGGTAATGTAGCTCTACGGACCATTAGCATGCGCTCAGCCTCTCCGCTAACTGGAGCCCCTTCATGTCATTTGTCATCAAAAAATGTCGTTTCTGTTCGCCTCGTTCTGTCCTGTACGCCGCCACCTTAACAAAAAAAATTATCTTATCACGCAAGCTTGGAACAAAGATCTTTTCTTTCATTCCCCACTAAATTTATGTAAGTCTTTGTGGTTCCATTGCTCTCATACTGCAGCACAAAGACAAAGCTGCACAAAGAGCTGGAATGAAAAGGCTTTTTGTGTTGATATCGAAAGCGGAGTTGATTCAACTCGAGGCGTTAGCACACCGAACCCAAATGTTTTCCACTCATTTGATTATTTTATTTTTTTCTTTTCTAGATGCGAGTGTAAAAGAAGATGTAGAGATGGAGAGTCAGAAATCAGGTAAAGTACAGTTTTAAGTCCAATCTCAAACGCAGAGGTGTGATTAGACGTGATTGTCAGTGAGTGAAGATTTCCCTCACGCTACACATCACTTATGGAGAAGGGAGGAACACGGTGAACTGCCTCTTATCTCTAGAGGAAATAAAATCGTTCAGGTTTACAGGTTCTTGCTTTGGTTTTCACTCCTGCTCAGAGTTTAAAGCTCAAACGTGGGCAGCCTCGTTAAAACAGCAACACAATTACTAAAAAACAACCTTAAATACATCTATGCAGCACTTCCAAGACTCAGATGTGTTTTGTAAAGCTAACACCAGGAGCTGTGAGTAAACTCACTGAGTGGATTTGTGTGTCTTTGTGTGTGCGTTAGAAATTGGCAACCATTAACTTTGAGCCAGAACCATTTCTCTTTTCCGAATATCCTCTACGCTGCTGGTATATAATTAAGATTCTACATTTGCATACTGGCAGCGAGCAGTGCCTCATCTCTCCTCCGTTTTTTGTTTTATTCAAATCCCATGCCATTGACAGCGATTTGACAGATAGAGCCTCTCACTACACGAATTCTGCAGATATTCTACGAGCAGGTTCTAGCAAACGCGGCCCCGGGATGCTTTCCAAGACCTAGGATGTGTAATTATCTTCTCATGAGACATAAACAGAGAGTTAGGACCAAGGGAGAGGAAAGATTTATGGTTAAAAATGCAGCATTATGTTATGCTTGGGTGTGTATTGCAGATGAAAACCAGACAATGTGGATCAATATGTTGTGCAATTATGTGGTGTTCAATAGTTTTGTAAAATGTGATATTTGTGCACAGTCTAAAATCAACCCCATTATGTTCTCTTTCTCCACATTTTACACTCTAATGTGTAGATGAACATATCCTGAGATATTCACCTGATTAAAACAGATTCTTTCATTTTTCTGGACTGAATATAAACGTGCATTGAATTTAATAAAATGTAACGTGAGACGTTATTTATCTTTGACCCATCAAAATGAATGTGGTCATTTATTTACAGAATCAAAGTTTAACATCAAACATTTACATTAATTTGGCAAAATATGAAAATAACAACATAATTAATCAGCAAGCTGTACAATTATGATCAACCACACGGCGGTGATTGGAAGACTTTACACAGACATTTCTAAAATATCTGGAATGATTTCTACTTGATAGAAGAATTTAAAGATGGAAAATGAAGTTTAAAGGGAGTAAAAGATGGTGTGTGAGAGAGAGTGTTGACCAGAAACGACACTCTCCGTTCGAACCCAGCTTTCCTCGGTACGCTCGGTAGTAAACTTGACTCGTTACTTCTCTGAAGATGAATCAGCGGATACGGAGTTCCAGTTAACGCTACCTGTCCAGCGTCTCCATAGGATGGCTGTGACTCGTCCGAAGTAGTGACGATATTCCGTCTAACACAAGTTCACCTCAGCCAGTGGACCTCACATGAGTGGGGTTCGTCCGAGTTCCACTCAGAGGTGGAAGATGTTATAATCCCAATCTCGGAAGAGCCTTATCATGGCTGGACTTCTGTTCTCCCAAACGACTGGAGCTGCAAACTCTCCAGCCCGACTCCAACGGCAACTCACAGAACAAAAAAAAAACTAGGAAGTACCGACATTTTAAAGGGCTCTATTTCCGGTTCATTTGGGAGTTTTCTTATTGGTCAATGTCGACCAGACAGGGGTGTGTTTTGTGACGTAAAAGGTTACTAGAAGTCAGAAAACAGCAAGAATGTTATGGAACAGATTGAAAATGTTTTTCAGACAGGCGAGAGAAATGTTTGGGCGAGTTTGGAGAAACAGGTGCCAACTTCACGTCTGAGAGGATTTAAAAACAAGACAGTTGTTCCAACACTTGTTTGCTTCGACTCCTGACCTTGGAACAAACGTACACTGCTCATTCAAAGACAGAAAATCAGAAAATGCATAATTACTCTGTAACAGGCCTTAACATGAATTCTAACTTTGCATGAGGATTAAAAAATCATTGTTACTGTTTTCACAGTTAATTAAAAATGATTAGTTCACTGCAACATCTAAAATGGTTTGAACTAAAACACTTTGATTATCAACATTTGTAAAACAGTAATGATAATAGAAAAGAGAGTGTTCTTTCACTTGAATTTTCAAGAAAGAGAGTCTCAGGATGGGTGAACCTGTATTTCTGGATTCAAATCAATGAAATGACAGTTTCTGTCCCACAAGGTTCTTAAGGTCAAGGGTTTTGACCTTAGGCTTAGTTCACTACACACTCTGCTCTAATGCAGTGACTTTCTGTTCAAAACACAAACGCCAGGTTCCGCCGACCCAAGCGGTTGCTCTTATCTCACTGCTGCACATCGGTGTATTAAAATTATTTTTCAAATTAATACGTCAGAAAAAAGTACCGAGTGCGTCAAAGATTTCTGTCAACCTTCACTCAGACTGAAAAAAAAAGATCAGTTTGCTGGTGTGGAAATGTTTTTGAGCATTTTCTGTCGGCATTAATGAAGCGTGGACTAATTTTTCTGCCACTTGTCGCAGGATTTGATGAGAAGGCCTTCACTTCTGATACTGGAGTTAATCATTCTGCCTTTTATTTATTTATTTTTCTTTTTTTTTGTTTGCCTCAAGTTGAAAACGATCCTGATATGGAGCAAACTCAAAAGGGTGATGATGGAGGGGCTGCAGAGGGAGACGTGGGCACGGACAACGGTGGCGACGCTGAAGATAAAGGTACGTTCATCGGGCTCGTCAGAATTCCAGGCACAAAAATTAACACAAAATTTAAAAAGGGTCACGTTTCTTTGAGTTTTACTTTATTCACTGAAGCAAACAGGTGCTCAATCTGTTCAGTTTGTAAAACCTTCATGGCTGAGAAGAGATACAGTAGTCCCTCACTTATCACGTGGCTTACGTTCCAGACACCCCTGCGATAGGTTAACATCCGCAAAGTACACAGGGACGTCATATTTTAGTATAGTAGTCCCTCGTTTATCTCAGGTGTTTGTGACCACGACCATCCACGATAAGTGAAAAATTGCTAAGTAGGGATACAGTAGTCCAAGTTGAGTAAACTCTGTCATGACATGTGCCAGGCTGTGATCACACTCATCACCTGTTACTCCCACTATCCCTCCTTAAATAAACAATTTCAATTTAAATACTGTAACATTTTAAATAAACAATCCATACATGAATTGTTTATTTAAAATGTTACAGTATTTAAATTGTAGAGAAGAGAAGTGCAGCAGGACATCAATGTGATGTCACACTCTGCAGCACGGAGCAGAAATGTACTTCTTGATCAACTACACCGAAACAACTGAACATAGAAGTTCTAAAATCATTAAAAATAACTTTTGATATTTTGTGATTATGATGATTTTTACTTTGTGACATACTTTGAATTTTAAGTTGCAAGACAAAGTCGATAGGTGCATCTGGACAGCAAAGAGTTAACCCTTCACAAAGCTGCAGCAGGAGAAATGTGTGCGCGTGGCAGAGAAGGGAATCAGCTGATCAGCTGCAGGAGGGAGCTTTCCTTGCACTTGTGGGCTTCGCACATGGTGCAAAATAATTTATAATAATTTATTTTAAATAAACAACCCATGGCTCGTCCATCAATCAGCCAATTGTATCATGTCCAATCTTATTTTGAAAATCTGCGATATAGCGAACCCTCGATAAATGAACGCAAAGTAGCAAGGAACTACTGTATTTATATATATATATATATATATATATATATATATATATATATATATATTACATTGGTACTCACCAGTGAAGACACTACAACAACTTGAAGGATGAGTTCAGCTTCAGGATTATTTGTGATTTTCCTGCCAGTTCTGTGAGCTTCATAGATGGAACGTATGACTTTGCGTTGCAAAACTATTTTTACCACATCGGTTTCTCCACTAGTGTTTGCTCCCTCCATTGCTGTTCTTTGAATTGCGGCAGAAAGCGACGACTTATGGGCCGTGTAGTTCTTTTGACTTGTGTAGGCTTATTGAAAGAAAACTACAAAATGGCCACGTCTGTCCTAAGATTTTTGTTGTTGTTGTTTTTGTGCTATTGGTTGGTTCCCGCTCCCATCAACTTTTTTATCCTGTACCATCCCAATCACGAGTAATACTAAAGTTGACAATCGTGTGCCGTGTACAATCTTATGTTGAAAACCCATGGAAGAGTGAGTCCATCAAAGTGGAACCGCGAAGTATCGAGGTATTTTCTTTTATATCTCGGTGTTCGATAGCTGTTCAAAGTTACATTACAACCATTTAAAAATGAAAAGAGCAAAAAATAAGCTTAGATGGAGGGGTATTTGTTTTTGCTGTCTCCTTTTTTCTTCAAAGTGCACTACGTTGTTTTTGTCACATCCACTTTCTAGAGCGGCTGCTACCGTCCACTTCAGAACAACTCCATCAGTGTTTTTGTGTAAAAAATCACTTCTTTGGACACATACTAAGCAAATGCTCTCTTTATATGCCTAATTCTAGGCAATTTTTTCATCATTTTCTAGAATTTGACAGATACTTTTAAAGAAAATCCCACAAAACAGCTTTTTTTGTCATTGTTGGGCACCGTTAGTGACATACAGTTGAAAAATAGTGCAAATCAAATTATAATAAAATGTTGAAAGCAGAAAATGTGATTTTTGTAAAATAATTATTTAGCCTCCTTCACAAGTGTTTTTTATACATACAACTGAAAAAACATGAGTTTTATGTGACTCAGAACTGATTGAACATGGATTTTTTTTTCTGTAGTTCCTGAATTCACACAATAATTAACAAAAATGATCTTGAGCAAAGTGTGATGGGTCAAGTTACATTTTTCTTATAAGTGGGTACAATAAGTCATAAGTTCCCAAAGTTGGGGTCAGGACACCATTTGGCGTCAAGTGCTGGGTCCTAAAAATATCTACAGATGCCAAATCACTTTTTAAAAGGTTGCAAATAGTACATTTAACTTTTACTGTGACAAAATATAAAAATAAAGCTCATAAATGCATAAAAACCTATATAATATTTGGCAAAGCTCTGTTGAAGGCATTAGCAGCAGTGTCTGTGCGCTTGAGCATTAAAGTCGTGGTCTGTGTAACTTTTTTGTGGGTTGAAATGAGAAAAGTTTGTGAACCACTGCAGTAAGTAATCAACAAAGACGGTGTTCCCGTGTGAACAGAACGAGTAACTGAATCTAACCTGTTTACAACAGAGCGAGAGAAACCTGCTGCTGAACCAGAAAACAACGACACGCCAAACCCCAACGTGGAGATGGAAGGTAAGATCTGATTTATTTCTGACTTTACTTGTTCTCATCTGGTTTTAAATGATTCACTCACTTTCTATCAAAACTTTTTGGTCTAATTTGGTTTATGGTACTTGTGTATTCAGTCGATCAGGCCCAGTAGGTTTTTTTTGTTTGCTTGTTTTCAAAAATAAACACTAGATTTTAACTGAAATTATTGTCAGTTTAAGATCCATTTCATCATCCCTGTGATACTAGTCACTTTGTTCAAGAAACAAAAAGCTCTACAGAGACCCCGATGTGGGCAAAAACTCCTCAGGGAGCCATGTTGGAGATGCTGAAAACTATTAAGGTACAGTGATCTCAGGTAATTGTTACCACAGCCATGCTGAAAGAGACTCTTCTGTTTTTGGTAATTTATTTTGTGATAAAAGATCATTATGTTGGTCACGTAAATGCATTTATCCTTGGTTAAAACCATCTGAAACATCAAAGTCCTGTGGTTTGAATCACGACAGCTGCCTGTTCGTTCAGAAAACCTGTAACTCGAACTTCTTGTGAGAAGTTAAATCATCAGTGCAGAATATTTCTGCATAACAGAAGTGCTAGGAATGATTAGGGTCAATGCACCAAGGTGGGGGTGGGGGGTATGGTAGTCTTCCTAAAGGTATTCAAAAATGGGAAATATACAGTATCTTAACTCAGGTTGAAATTGTACATGTGTTGATCCTTTTTGTTTTATTTTGGTAACTTACAATAACTTACCTATAATTGTCTACTTGTGCTTAACTTTATGTCCAACTGTCATTTCTTGTGGGTCATACATCAGCTGATCCCCTGAATCTGACCCAGTAGAACAAATCACAACTTCCTGTTTTTAACCAATGCCCTGTAGATGATGTAGTTTAGGGTTTGGCCATAGCAGACCGTACTGGTAGGTTTATGAAAAGTGATGGTATGCTATGAATAAAAATTAGGAGATAAACACTGGTCAGTGTTGATGGTTTTGTCTTTTTTTTAATATATATTCAGTTCGATTCAAAAATAATTTATTAATCCCAACGGGAAATTAATTGTTGTCGTAGCTCATCCTAGTTTCATTAGAGTTGTTCTAGGTGCTGATGTCTGTGAGCAGGAAGGATCTCTTGTAGCAGTCCGCCCCACAGCGGATCTGAAGAAACTGGCTGCAGATGCCAATCCGTCCAAGCAGACCAAGCAGACCTCTCGGTTCTCCTGGGCAGCAGGACTGCCTGAATGCTGAGCAGAACTCCTCCCCGTGCAATGGCTATTCCTCCCAGCAACCTGCCTGATATAAAATCCTGGGAAAGTTTTGAGAAACTTGCCTAACTCAAATATACTGTAGCTTGCCGCTCTGTCATTAACCTCAACATTGTGTATTAAAATTGAAGGCAATTTAGTTTTCTTGGAATATTTCCATAAAGACCTCTCAGCATACAAGTCTTCTGAGAAGAAAGTATTTGATCCCTTCTGTTTGTGGAGACTTCATTTATTTGTCCTTTGAGGTAGTGGTTGAAACAAACTGGCTCCAAACTCAATGTCAGAGCAGAGAGGTCAGCGTTATTAGGAGAAGCATTTAGTCTCTTTTGGCAACATTTAACATAATCTGGACTAAAAGAACCATATTTTCAGTAATCTCTCTTTTAGCTGGATGCTTAGAAGTTTGTCTTTATTTATTCACGCTCTAAAAAGCCATCTATTACATGCAGACATCTCTCTCAGCCCAGCCTGTTTCTGACCACACATCCGTCTTTATTTACCCACATTTTTTTCTGCAGCTTCTCAGTTAATAAGTGTATTCTCCAGAGAATTTAAGGTTTGAATTTTAACCACCACCCCCCAGCCACCCATCTCCCATCACTCCACTAATACAAAGGTCTGAGTTACTTTCTCACCGCTATTTCACTTTCTCACTTTCTCTTTGACTGGCATTCAATTAATTTGGAGTGAGAGTGAGCGTTCCTGATAAATCTCAGATAGCTTCTCCATCCTCTGTGAAAAGCCAGTGGAATATATCCAGCCCACACTACAGAATTTTCTCCTCTGAAAAGCATCACTCCAGCCTGTTGGCTGTCTTGGCTGGGCCTGCCACTATCTGTCACTGTCTTGCATACCGTGAGCTGTGTACTGTGTGGCAGGCCTGTCAGGCAGTAAACAGTGGTGTCAGTCCTGATTGCAGGCAGATTGCATTTTGTATACAAAAGCAGGGCCCTGGACAGCCTGCAACCTAAACTGTTTCAGATATTAAATCTCACGCGGCCAAATAGACACTGCCTAGCCGCGCGTAACCAACTTTTCACAGGACAAGACCAAATGATTCCAGAGCCAATAGCTTTTATTAAAAATAATAACTGTAATCAGGCTGCCGACTCATAGCAATAGAGGCTAAATCCGCCTCATTGTATGGAGTAATAAAATGCCTCACAACGAGGGGAGGAATGAATAAATCAGGCAGAATATGACATTGCTGCTCACATTCACTCACTAAAGCCTACATGTGTGTGTTGGGAACTTCTAAGTTTTACTTTCTGCCGCGTTGTTTTAGTAGAAGACTGTTGGTTAGTGTGGGAGAAAAATGTTCTCGCTTTATCTTACTGAAAAGCAGCCACACTCGACAGCAGGAGATTTTTAACTGGTATTTACTTGCAAGGTGAGATTTTCAGGACAGGTTACAAAGACGTACAGGAAGTACACGCGAAGACCAGTCATGAGAATCTGCGACGAGCCGTGTGTGAAGCTTGTTTTTATTCTCTTATCACCCCGCTCCTCATCCCGCTCTCTCTGCTAACCCAAACATATGGTTCATGGGCAGAGTTAACATTCTCAGGCATAGTAGTTAAAAACAGTTCGTAGTCCGTCTTCAGTAACAGTTTATATATCTGTTGCAAATCAAAACAAGGAATGAACCGGCTTTCTTTTGAAAGTCTGGATTTATGTCACGTTTCTTCCACGTCAGTTTGTCTGCCTTGTTGCAGTCACGGTTAGAAAAATTAACTGTGATGAAATTTTGAAGATTTGAGGGGTGTTTTTTAAGACAACAGAAATCTGCTTTGGAACTGATTTTACTTTAAATAACTATTATTAGGAATGATTTCTGTGATTTTTGACTGAAAAGACTTTAAAACATATAAATTCAAAAGATTATTGCATAAGCCACTATTTTGATGAGCCAGATTTTTGTGTCTGCAGTTTATTCATACAGCACCTTATTTATTTAGCACCTATAGCGTTTCCTGCAGTAGCTCGGTGGTCAGTGCTGTTGTAATAAGAGGCCGCAGGTTCAAGCCCAGGTTGTGTCAGGAAGGTCACCAATGTTTTCATAATAACAACAGGACATGGTTGTATAAGAGGGAAAACTGAATCTAAAATCAAGAATGCCTGTAACTTGTGTGAATAAAAACATCTTCAGCTGCGTTTTTTGAACCCTCAACACTGACATTGCATCATAAAATCAAGAGGAGTTCATTTAAAAATATAATAATATATACACGCGTTTCATTGGATTTGGGGAATTTTGATCATTGGATACAATATCCTCCCTAACATAAGAGTTGTAAAAATCTGATGAATATTATATATATATATATATATATATATATATATATATATATATATATATATATTGATGTTAGGCGAGAAAAAATACAAATTCAAGAGATTGATGACATTTGAAATTAAAGCCAATCTGCAGCTGACATAAGTTTTGAGCAAAAAAACACATTATTATAGGCAGCACAAACATTTACAGTTAATTTTAAACAACAGATTTAGTGTCGCATTTGTGTAAATTTTATCCGGATGCTACATTTTAGATGCAAAGCATCAAGTACACTCAATAACATTTTACCAGTTGAGCTTCTTCATTTAACAAATAAACGATAATTCACAAAAGGCTGCAGTTAGTCCGTGCAGAAAGAGGCTGTTAGACACTTTAGGATCCGTGTCTAGACGGGTTTTGGTTGTTAAAAGAAAAAACTGTTTGGATGTTTGGACAAATACAAGGCTCTTGTTGTGAGCTGTTGTGTGGAGCGATGCTCTCTAATTAGTTTGAAGATAATTGCTCAGTTGTGTACATCGTCTCGTAGATCCTCCGAGCAGGTTGAACTGTGCACCTGTAGTTGGTTGTGGATGCGTGTACTTTGTGATAACCAGCTTCTCTCCAGCATTATTAAAACAGGAGGCTTCACTGATTGTCTCACACTGAGCACAGTAGTAATTGCACATTGGAGGGACGCTATATATACAGCCACGCTCCAAGAAAGCATTCTTATTTTGCATCTGCAAGATTTTATCAACAGTCGTCACCCTGCTTTTCTCACCCAGCTCAGTGTTTCACCTTTGGAAGTGTGCATCACAACTAAACGCCTCAGTCCCGCCTCAGTCGCACTAAATAATACAAAGCTAAATAAGACACCTTTGTGTTTTATTCATTTTAACTGTTATCCTCAGTTTAACGTGTTAATGTAATAATCTGTTTGCTCTGCACACACTCCCTCATATAAAGCAAATACCAAAGGTGATGTAGAGGTCATCTGCAATCGTTTCATCAGCTCATATTGTCAAACCACGCCGCGTCTGTTGTTTACCTCATAAGTTTGTTTTTACCACTTCATTTGGTTGTTCTGAACTCTTCGTGCAACCAAAGAATCCAACCAGTACATATCAAATATATCCGTGGGCTTTTCACTTGTGAACATTTCTGAAATAGGATAAGTTCAAAGTAGAAAAAAAGAGGGATGTTTTATATTTTTAATTATCCTCCACTATTCCAATCATGTGGTTATCACCCAGAATGAGCAATGAGATCCTAAACTTGATAGCTGGAATATTATAAGTTGATTTAAAATCCAGGCAGCCTATATGTATGAATATTCATAACCCGATTTCAAATGAAAACGGGGCCTACATTGTTATTGTTTTTGGAATATCTGCTCTGCAAGCCTCGTTTCGGAGACTTGCAAGAGTGGGCAGCCTGCTTCAGTGAGCTCAATGCAACACCCATAAATTAAAATGAG